TATGCAGGTAACTGAAAAAAAAAAGCAGAACCTAGTCTATAATAGAATGTTGTCAACTATGAAAAAGTTAAAGAACCTCTCCTGTCCCTCCGTCTTATTCCCCATAATGTCCCTCACCCATTAATGAAAATAGTTGAAATATGCCTCACCCAGGCTAGAGTTTCTCAGCCCCTTTTGGGCTCCGAGATCCTTGCTTTCCCAGCTATTTCTACTTCTTCTTCTTCTTGAGGTATTAGGTTTATTCATTTATTTATGATTTGAGGAGGTATGGGGGATTGAACCCAGGATCTCGTGCATGCTAAGCATGCACTTTACCACTTGAGCTATACCCTCCTCCCTATTTCTACTTCTGTCACAACATTTCTCCTCCATCTCCCTCATCTCCCCCCCACCCCCCCGACACACACACATACAGCCTCCTGATTTCCAGGGAAGCAATAAAAACAAGTGGAAACCAAACAATATACTCTTCATGTAGTGTCTATAACTGCATCTCTTTTAAGGGTTTGTTCTTTATACTAGTGTGTCTCAAATTTTAATGAATAACCTGAGCATCTTGTAAAGATGCAGATTCTAGATTCAGCAAGTCTGGGGTCGTACTCAAGATTTTCCATTTCTAACATCTTCCTAAGTGAAGCTATTATTGCTGCTCCTGGTACATGGCCCGTACTTTGAGTAACACAGTTTTATAAAATCGGTACCTAAAAGCATGTGAGATTCAAACAAAACACACTAAATAATTAAGTGGCAATTGCTTCAAAATGTGATGGGACTTGATAGAATTTGAGATGTGTTCCTTTGAACACTAAGTATGACAAGTTCTAGAAAGACTGAATCTCAGTGTAATACTTACTGCTATACAATGAAAGTATTGGCTTAAAACAGTATCAAACATCTATTGTGCTCATGAATCTGAAATTTGGGCAGAGCTTTGCAGAGATAGCTTATCTCGCTCTACATGGCATCAACTGGAGACTGGAGGAGCCACTTACAAAATGATTCTCATGCCTGGCAAGTGGATGCTGGCTTTCAGCTGAAAGCTCAGCCAGGGCTGTGGGACAACTGTCTCGATTCCCCTCCATGTGAACCCCTGCAGGGGCTACCCAGGCTTTCTCACAGCATGGTGACTGCGTTCCAAGAGCAAGTGTCTCAAGAGAACAAAATGGAAGTACATGGCATTTTCAGGGCCTGACCTTGGAAATCACATAGCATCACCTCTGCCACATTCTATTTATTAGTTGAGGCAGTTACAAAGGCCTACCAGATTCAAGAAGAGAGACATAGACTCCACCTCTTGATGGTGGAGTGGCAAGGTTCCAGGAGAGCATGAAGGATGGGTGATATCATTGTGATCATCTTTAGGAGATACAACCTGCCATACTCATCAACCCAAAGTCCTTTCTAAACAAATGACAAATTAATTAAGATACAAATTTCTCTATTTCTAGCCCACACCCAATCCCATTTCTTCCCCAATATATACATGTATTTGGGGGAAGAAAAAAGAAATAGAATATTGAGGAGGGGGGATGAGAAAAAGGTAAAGGAATGAAAGATTATCTGATGGAGGGTAGGAAAAACAGGAAGAAAATAGGTGGACAAATGAAGATGGAAGTATAAAAAGAAAGTAACCTGCAAGCATACAGAAAAGTTGATGCCAACTTTACTTCCTTCTTACTCTATTTGTAAAAGAGTGGAGAGGGTACTAATCTGATTGGTTGGGAAGCTTCCTCTGTAACTTGTTGCCATTCTCTTGTAAAAGATAGACTGGAGCCCAGTACTAGACAATAATAAATGAGTTGAGCTATTTTTCTCTTTCAATAAATATATTACAGCAGCAGAGTGAGTTCAAACATAAAACCTAAGGCTTTCTCATCTATGGGAAGACTACAGTGTTATCAGCGAGCAATGGGGGTTGGCTTGGGAAGAAGCAGCCATATTGCTTGGTCCACTTACTGTATTTGCCAAATTACATTTGCAATCTACAACTTGAGGCCTGATTCCAGTGAAAAACACAGCAAAGGGCTATTCTTTGATAGTATTCATGCAATTTAAGATCATCATGATAATCAAATCTATCAGCTCACAGTAAGAAATGCTAGTCATGTTGATACATGAAAACAAAATGTTCCTCTGTTCATTCAGGGTCCTGAAAATTGGCTCCCCACACAGCCTCATTTGGTCTCCATACTGTCCTGCTGAGTGTGAGCTCTGTGGCAGTTTAAACCAATGTGAGAAAGTCACGTTTCACTCAATGTTTGGTGCTGAAGGCAAGATTCCTGTGATGAAACCAAAGAACTGCTACCTCAGAGCAGCATTTCAAAGACTAGAAGGTAATATATCACACCAATTCTCTTTCAAACAAAACCACTGAACCTGCGCATGTATCAGAAACCCACCACCTCTCAACTCTGGCTCTAAACCTCCCAGCTCAGGTTCAAAGGATAGACTCCCCTGATGAAGCAGGTTTGACTGGCACAGGATAATGTTCCAGTCATGCTATTGAGATGGGTTCCTGGAAGGAAAATGAAGAGAATGATCTGTATTTTTCTTGATTTCTGCCCAAACATGTCTGTTCTGTAGGCGTTCTGGAGTCCTTCCCGCAAGGCAGATCTCAAAATCTTCAATGTCAACCATGAATAAGAGTTCCATTTACTTGAAATAATGAAACTTGTTCAGTGTTGTATGAATGAAAAGTGTTAGACTAAAAGGAGCAATTGCTGATCTTCACCTACACTGCTGTTCTAAGAGAAAGGACCCCCCTCATTCACCATTCCCTTCCCGTCTCCAAGGCAGTCAGGGAATCTACCAGAGAGACAGCTGAGTGGAGACTGACTTGGCTGCCTAGATATGTGACTTTGTGCACATCAGTTAATTTCTCTATCTGTTGCTCCTGCATAGAATTAGAATAAGACTTTAACCCTCTTTCTTGTCCTTTGAACTTTGCCAAAGAAGGCATTACAAAAATGCTGAGGGAAATTTTGCCCACCACATTTATATGTCCTCTGTGAGGATACATCACATACTCTCAACACTGAAGGTTTAGAAATATGAGCTTTCCTGCTTCACTCATGCATTATCAGGCAGAGTTACCAACAAATGGTAAAGAAAATAAACATAGGATACTCAAAGTGGAACCATGATGCTGAAAACGAGCAATTAAGGCCCTGAGTTCTTCAAGATGACTCTGCTTAATTCTACTCACACTCTGCTTTTGCATATCTGGCAGGCCAAACCTTGACAGTGCATATCTTCTTGGTCCTCAAATCCAAGGAAAGAAGACTCTGGGGATTTACATTCAAGCTGGGAGCTCCAGTTTTAGGGCATGCTCAATATAGTTATGCCACATATCAGTACATTTATGCCCCATGAATCATGAGCAACCTTGAATGTGTCATCTAACCTCACTAAACCTCGGCATTAGTTTGCTAGGGTTTACATAGCAAAATCCCACAGACTGGGCGGCTTAAACAACACAAATTAATTTTCTCACAATCCTGGAGGCTAGAAGTTCAAAATCAAGTTGTTGGCAAGTTTAGTTTCTCCTAAGGACTCTCTTCTTGGCTTGCAGAACGCTACCTCCTTACTGTGTCCTCACGTGCATGGCCTTTCCTCTGTATGTGTCACCCCGGTGTCTCCCCCTCTTCTTATAAGGACACCAGTCAGACTGGATAAGGGCATACCATAACAGCCTCATTTTTACTTGATAACTTCTTTAAAGGCCTTATCTCCAAATATAATCACATTCTGAGGTTAAGGCTTCAACATATGCATTTAGGAGGCATACAATTTAACCCAAAATAACCTCTGTAGAAATGGGCATCAGGAGGATTTATGCAAGATGCAGATGGGAACATGAATTAGAAAATGCCTCATAAATTATAAGTCACCGTAACAATATTATATCATTGATATCATCATTTTTGTCATCATAACTCTTATTCTGTATGACATATTGTCAGTCTCCCAGGAAATCTGTGTTTTCCACCTTTAGGAGAAATGTAGCATAGCAGTTAAGAGAACATGCTCCAGAATTAAGATGTCTAGATCCAAATTCTGGCTCTAGCTAACTACTTGCTAGCTGTGTGACTTTCAGAAATAATTTCAACTTTTCTAAGCTTCTATTATCCTATATAAAAATTAGAGATGTATAAGCAGTACCTACCTTTTAGGGTTGTTGAAAGATTAAAAGAGAGACTGCATTAAAATGACTGGCTAATAGAATGTGCTCAATAAATGATAGCTGTTATTAATAGCAGTATTTAGACCATGTTGCTGCTGCCTTTCTCAGCCAGAAGAGGTCTCCATCATTGTCAGACTAGGACTAGCTTCCCCAGGACAGTCTGCCCTGCAGCTGCCAAGCAAATGGACTACTGGCAGAGAAAGTGGTGAAAGAATTACCACACTTTCTGAAGGAAGGAGAAGAAATCAAAAACAAGAGAGTAGGGAATAGTTAGGATTCTATGGTCAAATGTTATACGAGAAGGTGCCCATGAATGAAGATTGTCTAAATTCTACTGTTGCCTCAGAGACTGACTTTCACAGACATTGCCCTTCATTGCATCTCCCTTTAGCCAGGTCTAAAGTTAAATGAAGAAATAATACTCACATGTATCTTAGAGGGGCAGTAAGAATGAATTGGCCAATATTTTTGTAAAGTTCTCTGAAAACAAGGAGTCCTGCTAAATAAGCCTTTAACATTTCTCACAGTATCAAGCTTATTTCATCTTTATCACTAGTTATACTTCATGCCTCAGTTTTGCACCCACTGTAATATATTTCCTTTAACATTACTTTCCAAGACAGGCTTACACCTCCAAGTTCAATTACTCTGTCAGTTGTGTTTTAAATTGTACTGATTTCTATTAACCACTTGTATCAATTTGTTGATCTGTTCCTTCTTCTATAGCAATCATCTTTACACCCACCAAAAGCCGGAATGAGAATTAAATTGAGGAAGGTGAAAATTATTCAAGAGAAATTAAAGTATAGAAGTAAAGACAATGGAAAAACTGGGATTCAAAAGAGCACTGAAGGGGAAACACACATGTACTAAAAAGCATAGCTCCGAGCACATAGAGGCAGAGGGAAGAGAGGAGAGCGAGGTAGAAAACGGATCCTGCTTCTGCCTGCAACAACTCTCTTTCAGCACCAAGGACAGAGCCTCTGAAGCGCTGACCCAAGCAACACTCAAGTTAGGGTCCCTCCCAAATCCTCTAGAGAAAATGATGCATTCAAAAGCAGCTATGAAACATGCAGTAAGGTCTAATAGGGAAGCTGGAAGAGCAGCTTACAAGTGATTCCACCTTAGAGGCAAAAATGGGTGATTTTCTTTCTGCTTATTTTCACAGTTTCTGTGTCCTGGGAAAGGTAAAGTCTGCTTTGCTTGGGTATGTCTGCTGTCAGTAAATGGCTGCAGGACCTGAGGTGCTAAACCCCACGGTCTCCAGAAACCAGAAGAAATTTTCAGGGTAAGTAATTTCTCTTTCTGTTTCTAATTTAAAACACAGTGTTTTTCTGAGAGGTTATTTAATCAGCTTGGGGTTCTGTGGTTCTCTAAGAATACGCATTAAAACTCTGTACCCTCTCTTATTTAAAAACCTGAACCCCTAAGGAAACTGTGTTCATTTTCTCCTTATTTTCTGGACAGTAGAAACCTGTTCTCTTTCTCTTTTTTTTTCCCCAAAATTAGATCCTCATTGGCTCTAGAATCTATATTAAGGCAGAATTAAAAGGTGGAAAATAAAAAAGCTGTTTCTATTCCTGGGATTTGTAAAAAAGTTGATTGTTTTCCTCTTAAGGGTTTTACTTAATTGAAAGGGTCTGTTATTTTAAACTCCCCAATTCAGCACCCTGGTAATCCAGGGCTGAGGGTTTGGAGAGGCACTGTTTTCCATGGTCTATTTTAAGTCAGGCTGTTTCCAAGTCAGAATCCAATTGTTCCCAACAGAGATATGCAGTACTTGAAATGATGATTGTGTATATTTTCTTTAATGATGACATATGATTTTGAAGGTACTGTTGTTTAATTGGGGGACTTTCATTACTTAATGTAGCTTATTGGGTCAATAGAAGTTGTTGCAATTAGGCATTTGTTCCAGTTCATGCCTTTAGCTTAATCAAATACTATCAGAATGAATGCACAGTAATAATGCAGCAATAGCAAAGTGCAACTTGGATTCTAAACTCATTCTGCATGCCTGTTTGCACTTTACAGGTGAAGCCCTTTGCTAACTGACACTAAAAGGTCAGTAAAATGTCTGTACTTGGGTAAGAGTGAAAAATCGCTGCTTGACACAACATTGGATCCTTTGTAGCCAAAGAGAAGCAGACACAACATGAAAAAGATTCTTACTTAGACACTTGTTTATTTATAGTTTGAACATTTTCAAGGGTCTGCTTGGCTAGCACTGTATAGGGGTGTTGAGCAAGAAAAATATTGGCAGTTTCCAAATGAATGTCTGATATTAAAGCATCTATACAGAAGGTTGCTTTCTATGGAATATTAATTAAAGAAAACATCAAGCAGATTTTACCCAATATTAAATTCAATTTCTAATGTGTTGAAGTTTGTCATCAATTAATATTTGCTTATTGATTGATTGACTAATCTGCTGAGCTCCCCATTTTATCTCTGAATAGAATGGTAGGATGCTCAGATATTAGAATTTGTGATGGAAAGTGGGGATGCTCCGCTTTATTGGGCAAGTTTAATTAAGGAAAAAAAAACTATATTACTTAGCTACTGGATCTCAGTAACCAGCTCTGATTTTTCTCTATACATTGGCCAACAATATAAATGCGCCCAAATATATAAATATGCTGTGTGTTTCAAAGCACTTGTGAATTTTCACTCGGAAAATAAACTAGACAGCAATTTTCAAGAATAAAGTGCCATAGAAATGCTAAGGACTACCTCTAATAACAATGACAATGTAACTCCCACTGTTTCTACGTGCAGTGTGCACCTGCATTGACTTCACTGAGCTTGGTCAGGTGACATGCACAAGATATTCTGAAAAAGCAAGGTTTTAAAATTAGTCCCCATTTCAAGTTTCTTTCCCTCTCCCCAATAATGGAGAAGTGAAGAACATGGAGCTCTGGAAACAGACAGATCTTGGGTTGAATCACTTTCATAATTACTGGTGTATGACCTCAGCAGGATACTTAACCTTCCTTATTTTCTTCGTCTGCAAAAATGGGGATAATAATAGTACCTATTTCCTTCATCAGGTTTTTGTGAGGTTTAAATAAGATAATGCTTATAAATGTTAGCTATAATCATCCATTTTTTTCAGGCAATACAGCAAGTCTGCACTGAAGCCCAGAGCCAGAAAAGCTCTGGAGACTAGAGGTCAGGATATAACTGAGTGAAAAGCTAGAGACGGCAAAAGACAGGGATCTATGATATAGCTAACTGGTCTTGCAACTCTGCTATCAAGGTGTTTTGTTCTGGGTTTAGGAGAAATCATTTCTATCTAGAAATGACTGCCCACCTCAACCCACCCCCAGCATAGACACAATAAATAAGTCCCAAGCTTTGGATTTAGGGAGCCACAAGACCAAAGCTGGGCTCAATGTAGCTCCTTGCACACTGTGTAATCTTGGGAAAGTTACAGAGCTTCTGTCTTAGTTTTTTAATCTGTAAAAGAAAGACATCAATATCCACCTTCAGGGTTACTATAAACATTAACCCAAGGTAACGTCTGTAAAGTATTAGTGCCAGGAGTGGGAGTGACTAGTGTCTTCAAAAGGAGTTTGAAGAACCCAAGGTGTTTTTGTTTTTCTTGTTTGTTTTTTTGGCTTGACTCAATATCCTTAAGGAAAGAGAACAAATAATTAAAACCCTGTAAGTCATAATGAATATCTTCCCAACAAACTCAGTGGGAGCCTGAAACGGAACCAGAAGCCCAAACAAGGCAACTCACAGCTGTTCCAGGCAGACTCTAGGTCCACACTGAGGGACTGAGTATCAGCAAAGCAGGATGTGTGTCACAGAGGATGGGGGCCTGACCACACTCTGTCCCTCTGCTTTTTATTAGATCATGCACTCAGTTTAAGAGATGCTGGAATAAACTGTAAAGACAAAGATAAGTCAATACTTTGTAAGAAACTCAAAGGTTCATGAAAATGTGTCAGTAATGTTCTATGTAATGATTCTTAAAAGAGTAAGACCAGCAGTAATCTTCTAGTGTTTGGTTTCTCCACTTTCTCACCTCTCACCCACTCTTCGCTAACGCTCTTTGCCAAGGTCATCAGTAATCTTCTAATTTTCAAGTCCATTAGACAGTCTGCAGTTGTAGTTTATTTGACCCCTTCACCTATCCCCACTTGCCCTTTAACAATAAAAGCGACATTTCAAGTGCTCTGTGCCAGACATTCTGTTTGAGCCATGATTCTCAATGGGAAGAGCAATGTTGGCCCACAGGGAACATTTGACGGTGTCTGGAGACATTTTTTATTGTCACAATTTGGGAGAAGGGGAGTGCTACTGGCATCCAGTGAGTGATGTGCCAAATATCCTGCAGAGCACAGGCCAGCCCCCCACAGCAAAGAACTATCCAGCCCTGGCTGTCAATAGTGCCAAGAATTTACATATATAATTTTATTTAATTGCCACAATAACCCTATAGAGTGGGTATGATTATCCTCATTTTATGATGAGAAGGCCAGGCTATCATGAAATACTTAAGGAGTGATTATTGAGGGAATGCATTCTCTAGGCTCTTTACTTCTCCTACCTGAGATCTGTTAGCATATCTATCAAAAGGAGAAAGAAAAGAGAAAACCTAGCCTAGTTCTTTGTTATATAACCAATGCCGGTTTGAAAAAAAAATAGATCTAAGGAGGGAGGAAGTTGAAATAATTAGCTGAGAAGTAGGAGTAGAGAGTAATCTAGCATCTCTCTCATTTTCTGCTTTCATCTCCCACACCCACAATGCATCAGGAACTGCCTGGACAACCAAGGCTTAACCCCCACCTGCCATGATAAAGAATCTAAGACCAGAGACCATGCAATGCAAAAAATAAGTCAATCAGAAATTCATGCGAGTGTAATTCCAACAACAGGCTCAGAATTGATTTTCAGAGCTGAGGGGTTCCCTTCATACAATTAGTCACTGACACTCAGCTGTACTATTTTTAAGTAGCTGTCAAACCTCAGCAGAGTAAAATGTCCGGCAAGATGGTAACAAATATCCTGAGGTTTTATGCTTCCCTCCTACCTGACAGGTGAGATGAGGCTATGACATCATTAGCCAACTGCAGATCCCAGGAAAGAGTGATCTCTGGCCACTGATTTCCAAGGTGGCCCAGTTGCAGAGGGAAAGGCATTCTGGGACTGAGCCTGCCTCAAAGGTGAAAATATCCTTGAACAATCAGAAAGCATTGCATTTTTCCGAAAGCTCTTGGCAGCAACAGTGCTATCTCTGGGGTAGTGGCTGCCCTTCTCCAAATAATGAGAAAATTATAATTATTATCAAAAATTATTATTATGCTTTAAAATATATTGAGTGCAAACAGTGTGCCAAGATAAAGAACAATTATTTTAAACAATTCTCTGAATTCATTCCAAGTCACTCGCCCCTTACAATTATTTGCTCATTTTAACAGGTTCACATTCCAGGCTGAAACATTCAAAATGAGGTATAAAGTGACAGCCACGATTAAGCCAATCTCCTAATCAAAGGAGAGCTGCAGTTAGTAGAATTGAGAGCAAATCCTGGCCACCAAGCCAGCCTCTACCTCTGCCAGGGGCCTGGAGCAAGAGTTCCCATGGAGGCCCATATACTCCGTGTCTACATATTTTAGTTATAACCAACAGACCATTGAATGAGATATTTAATCCTCCTGTCTTGATAAAGGTACCTTCTTAATAATCTGGAAGGCCAGGTTTGAGTTCAGGATTCCTAGGCCCTTTAAGAATTGCACACAAAATGTGAGAGGGCAGAAGCAGCCCTCAGGGACTCCGTCTCAGGGACTTTGTCCTCTTCACCCTCCACCTCAGGGTACATCCAAGCTATTCATCTGAGCTCCTCCATGAGCTACGCCTTGAACCCTGGGGTCCCACACATATTGGCACAGTCTACCCTTGAGGCAACAGATCTAAAACAAAGCCCATGTCACCCTAGAAATAGGCTCCAAGGAGTTTGGGCAGAGAATCCTGTGATCATGGTACCCAGAGTGTGGTCTAGGATGGGTGTGGACTTTTGGTGGATCTGCTCCTTGGTGCCATGGGAGGGCATGACCTCATCCTGGGGGGAGGGTACAACCAGATGGGGTCCAGAGTAGGGTCCTCGGAAGCACAGAGCCCGGGGCAGGAGTCACTCTTACCCAGGTCTCAGAGCCACACCACGGGCGATACGCCTGTGCTTCCCCAAGCATGGCTTTGATGCACTCCTACCCTTGGCACACAGGCATTTCTTTATTTTTCTTCAGGACATGGTCACCTTTGTCCCCCACAGACACACACAGACCTGAGTTTAAGAGCCCAGGGCCCCTTCTGGCCCCAACAGGCTCACGTCTTGGGGCAGCTGATGGGCTCTGATGCCTTTCCCACTCTGCGTCCAAAGTCCCCACAGTTGGCGGATTGGCTTTTCCCATTGCAATAGTGGCATGACAGTTGCTATGGCTGTCAGATGCCAAAGCAGAGCATTGTGCAGCAGAGAACTCCACAGGGGCCAGCCGGGCCGCCCGCCTGCATGCCTACTATGCCCTCTCCTACTGCGTGCTCATCCTGGCCATCGTCTTCGGCAATAGTCTGGTGTCTGTGGCCGTGCTGAGGGAACGGGCCCTGCATGTTGGTTCTGCCCATGAGAAGCTGTATGACTTAAGGTGTGTCACTCACCTCTCTGGGTCTAGTTTCCCTGTTTGAAAAATGAGGGCATCAGACTAGGTCAGAGGTTAAAACCTGGTGATGCATGGATGTGGGATTTAGGGGAGAGTCATTGGCCATGGATGTGGGATTTAGGGGAGAGATGGGAGACTTCATAGGCTTAAAGATTTTTTAAATTGGTAAGGAATCTTTAAAAATTAGGATGTTTCAAATAAAATATCACACGTGGATTTTTCCCTAAATATAAAAACCACTGAGCTACCTCTAACCCCCATTACTCTCAAGATTTTCTCCCACAACCCAGTCTCCCAAACCCATCATGTCCTACCTCGTAAGATCCAAAAGAGAAAGTGGGAGATTGAAGAAAGTGAAGAGAGACAGAGAGAGGCAGGGGAAAAGGCAAATGGGGGCAACAGAGGGTGGGAGAGAGGAAACAAGGAAAGGGGGATGGGAAGCTAAGAGAAACAGAATAATAAGAGAAAAAGAGCTAATGCTCACATAGCTTTCTACATCTGTCAATGTCTTACATACATAATAGCTCATTTAATCTTTACAAAATCCCTATGGGATGAGTCCCATTACTTCCCCCATTTTACAGAGAAGTAAAATGAAGCTCAGACAGGTGGAGTAACACGCCCAAGGCCCCAGAGCTAGGAAGCGGCAGAGCTGGGCTTCCCATCCTGCAGCAACTCCCCATCTCACTCAGAGTCCATGTGTGGTTCTTCCAGCGGCCCTGCGCAACCTCTCGACCTCACATCCTTCCCCTCTGCCCCTGCCTCGCCTGGCTCCAGCCACACTGGCCTCCCTGCTGTACTCTCCACATGCCAGCTGCCCTGCCTTTGGACCTGCTGTTCCTCCTGCTTGGATAGCTGCACGGACGGCTCTCTCAGGTCCCCCAGGTCCTGACTCAGTTGTCTCCATTTCCCTGAGGGCTTCCTGATAACCCCAGTTAAGAACTGCACTCAGACACCCTACTCACACACACACCATCTTCACCCTGTCCTCACTCCCTTCCCTAATTTATTGTTCTCCAAAACACATACCATCATCAAATAAACTACATCTTTTATTTATCTTGTTTATTACTGTCTTCTTCTCTAGAATGGAGGCTTAATGAGGGCAGGGATTTCTATCGCTTTTTTCATTGCTGTATATCCAGTACTTAGAATATTGCCCAGCATATTAAAAGTGCTCAATAAAACATTTGTTGAAGGGATAAATTCTAAAACGTATCCAAGCAGCCAAACTCAAAAGGTCTGACTTTCACCGACACTGTTCTCCATCTCCTCTCAGGAAACGTGTTGGGGTTGCTCCTCTCCCTCAAGGCCATGGCGCCTCTGAGCCAGCTGGGTGGCCACATCAACTCCACCTGTGCTGCAGAGAACGCCACAGGGGCCAGCCGGGCCCGCACGCACGCCTACTATGCCCTCTCCTACTGCGCGCTCATCCTGGCCATCGTCTTCGGCAATGGTCTGGTGTGTGTGGCCGTGCTGAGGGAACGGGCCCTGCAGACCACCACCAACTACCTGGTGGTGAGCCTGGCCGTGGCAGACCTGCTGGTGGCCACTTTGGTGATGCCCTGGGTGGTGTACCTGGAGGTGAGTAGGCTGCGAGTGCAAGATGCCCACATGTCGTGCTTGTCTTTGTCTTCCCTGAACTCCTGTCCTTCTGGGCTCAGAATGCTCCCAGCCATGATCAGAGTCTGAGGCAGGAGAGCTCCTGTCATTCTCCCTTTCATGAGGGAACTGAAGGTCTTGAGAGCAGCCAATATCCTGTATCACTTAACCACATCAAAACCAGGAAGCTGGGAATGATTCCGTTCCTGGGCCTCCAGCATCCAGGTGACTGGACTTGAGCGATGGGACTCTTCCTAAAAATGCACTTTTAGGTTTACTTTCTGTGCCACTCATGTCGCAAAGACGTGGGGGGCTGGGGGAGGCAGTCCAGTGGCCATCTTCATCAGTGTTTCAATGTATACAGGGGTGAGGATGTGCAGGAGGCACGCAGGGGCAAAAGCAATTATTAAAAAAAAAATTAGTCAATGAGAGGAAAAGAGGGAAAGAACAGTCTACAAATAGATCAGACCTCTTCTGATGGTTCAGTTGCCCTCGGACTCAGCATTTTCCTCCTGGGTACCAGCACTCCACAGATTCTGCTTCCAAAGGAACAGAACAAATTTATATTTTTGATGCCTCCATTAATAGTACAGAGCCCTCGCCAGTTAGATAATGCAGCAGACCCTGGAGAATTCTTCTGGAGAGAAACATTTCCTAAATTTGAAAGTATTTTCATTTGAAAGTGCAAAACAGAGTCAGGAGGTGATCAAGACAAAACATCCACTTGCTAACAAGGAAATCGAGATGCCTGCACCTGTTCAAGAACAGATATTCCTACCAGGAAAACACGCAATTACTAAAGAGGTTTTTTTTTTTTAAACACCTTAACATACTATTAATATTTCTCCTCTGCACTGTGTATCATTCTAAAGAGGTATCCAATGAAGGCTCAAAATGATGCTATGATTAAGAGAAATTAAAATTCATCAAATTAATATCTCAGTTAATATTAATAGTAAAGATGACAGTTAATTAAGTATGACATATCACAGGAGAGCAAAAACCTTGAACACAGACTGCTTAGGCGAGTACCCGCATTAAAGAATGACTGGGAACTAAAATTAGACTTATGATCTCAATGGGGAGACAGAAAGGAAAGAAATCAAGAAGATAGAAAAGAAAAGGAAAAGAATAAAAACAACTAGGCTGACTGGGATGGATCTAAAGGCCAAGGGAATACTTTGGAGGAAAAAATATGCATTTATTTTTCCTAGTTAGGATAATCCTGATAGCAAAGGGTCTTGTAATTACCTTCACTTTTCTGTCAACCCACTTAGGCTGAGACATCCTTGAAGCCAGAAGCTATGTCTTTGTTCTTTTTTTTTTTCCTGTAGTCCAAACACACTACCCGCCACATAATATGTGCCAAATAAATATCTGATATATGAATGAGTAAATGAATCTGTTCTGCAGTGTATGCATTAGATGAGCAACTCTTGCTTCTATCATCTGCAGCTACATTTATTGTTACAATGAACTATTTACTTTTATTTTATTTTTTAAGAATGACACTGAAAAGGAGTTAGAGGCAAATGATATTTCTGTTCAAGAGTGAGGCAGATTTTAGGTGCTACAGCCCAGTAGGGATGGATGAGTCCATGATTCACAACATCACCATACCTCCCTCAAAAGTATTCCTGTCCATCCCTATATACTACAAGAATTCTTAAGTCTTCCAGGAGGATTAATATCAGAAAGAAGTGCAGGAAGAGGATCTTTATTCTGATAAGCATTTTAATTGCCTTTGAAATAAAGCCAGGTTTTTGGTGCCTGTAACAAAGCCACTCGGGGTACGCTTTGGCTGTCCATCTGTGATTGCTTCCAGGGACCTGGATGGACCACATTGGAAAACATCTGCAGATACGGGAATAGGAGATGGACATAGTGACTTTCCCACACTAGACTCCCATGGCATCCCTTTCGAGCCACACCTGCCAATATGGATGGCGCCCTAGTCTACTAATGAGCACAGAAGAGCACCTGAGTCTGCAGAGGACCAGCATGAAATCTGGTCTTAGTGAAGTGGACTCTCTCTCTATGGGTTCTACCTGTGGGTTTCCCCCTGTGAGAAGAGCTCTGGGGGAGCTCTTGTTTCCCCTCATAAAAACGAATATGACCTCTGTCCAACAGGTGATTTATAACAGGTAGGTGTTCAATAATCAAGAGTATGGTCACATAAGTCTGCAATTATACAAAAAAGATTTGAGGGAGCAGAGGCATCTCTCCCCTAGGAGACAGGCTTTGGGACATCTTTTTGGTCCTACCCGCTTGTCTCAAGGCTCCAGGAAATGCAACTTAATATCTCTGCATCACTTTCCCCAACAGTCAACTAAGGGTCTGTCTCAACTAGAGCATGACGTTAAGTAGCCATCATCAGCAGACAGCTAGCCAAGATAACAGAAGGTTCTGTTCCAAAGGACCAGATCCCCCATCCACCCCAGTCTACATATTTTCCTTAATCTTAAATGCCTGCCTGCTTTCTGTGGACCCCAGAAGCAGACTGGGTGCTTTAATGAGAAAAAAGAGCACTTTAATCTCTCAAAGGGATTGTGAATATATAAATTTCTGTGTCTAGGAGAAGAGCAAAGTGTTACTCTCACTAACTTGTCCTAATGATGGTGCGGTTTGAGTAGCAGGTCTAGTAATTACATGATCAAACCCGAGGGCTCCCCTGAAAAGAGGAAAGGGTGCGGCGTTGACCACAGAGAATGCTACAGGCTTGAGGGCCCCCAGGAGGAAAGACAAATGAGAAGAACACCACGAGGGAGGGAAATTAGCTGCCACATTCACACCTTCCTGTGCTTTGACTTGAATATATCCATCTTGTTTGAAAGGAATACCAGCTCACATTGGCCAGACATCTTTCTTCAAAGGAAAAATGGCTCATCATGCCAGACACCAGTATATATGAGTTAACTAGGTTTTGGCTGTAAATATTGGAAAATCTGGCTCACTGTGGCTTAAACAAATAGGAGTTACTTTTCTCACACAACCACAAAAATTCTGGAGGAAGTTCTGCTGGTGTTGCTTCCGCTGTCTCAGATGTCATCAAGGACAAGACTCTCCCATTCTTCCTGTTCGCCATCCTTGGCAAACTGGTTCCCTTCCTCATGCTTCTCACAAGAGCCCCCAGCATCATGGCATTATTCAAAACTAGGATGGGCAGAAACAGCAGAGAAAGAAAAAAAGATTCCTTCCCCTGGAGTGGCTTGAAGCATCTCCCTAAGGGACCTCATTTAAGTTTAACTGGCCAGAACGGGAACATAAGGCCACTTTAAGCTATATGGGAGGACAGAAAAGAAAAAGCGAAAGGGTGGGTTTTATTAAAAAAGAAGATACGAGGGTGAGGCAGACAATAAAATGTCACATAACATTGTGCTTCTGCTGGAATTCACTGGGATGAATGCTACTCTGATAGCAGGGTCATGCTACGAGAGACTCAGAACTGGGAGTCAGCAGGCACGGAATGAAATGAATAAAATGAGCATGACAACTACATTTTCCCTATCTCAGGGTTGATTTAAGCTCAACTGTCATCAGTTGAAAAAGTGCTTTGATAACTAAAAAGTACGATCTATAAATATCTCAGTTAAGACAATTTTAGTTGTAAGTAAAAGAAAACTTGACTCCGATTGACTTAAGCAATGAACAAAATGCATTGGCTCTCATACCAAGAACTTTAAAAGTCCTGTGGCAGGGAGGACTGCAGGCACAGTCTGAACAGGGCTCCAGTTCTACTTCTCTACAATTCTCTCAGCTCCGTCTTCTTCCATATATTGGCCTTATCCATAAGTAAAGGGTAAACTACAGACCTCATGTGTACACGCCATGTCATTCACAGCAAGATTGAAAATCCATGTGCCAGAATTTCTAGTAGAAGAGGCAAGATGTACTTTGATTGGACTGGCTTATGGTACACGATTTTCTCTGAACTAATCACTGAATAGAATAGTGGTTTAGCATAGGTTATGTGTACCTTCCACAGAACACACCAACAGCTCAGGAATCTCATGGGTTCCCAGTGGAATCCAAGGACTATTAGAAAGAGGAAAAGAAGACAGCAAATAC